AGGCACATTTTCTTGAAGGGTGATGACTATAAGATGACTATCAGATTTTTATAAATATCTAGCTACATCTGCTGTATGGATACCTGTGCTTTGTGCAGAGCAGAGATAACTTTAACATGCTTTACACTGAAATAACTTGTTTATTTTTTTAGTACAGGAGATAAAAACAGTCAGAAGTCACCAGAAAAATAGTAATGAAATATCTTTAGTGTTTTCCAGAACTAAAATTATTGGATTTTTTTGGCTGAATAGTCAAACTCCATGAAACTGTACATATCTTTGCATGATTGTAAAAATTCTGAACTTTGAAAAGGGGAAACTAGTGCACACAGTCCAGAGATACAATTTGAAAACTAGCTGAAGGGATTAGAGAAAGCCCAATTAGGTTGCTGCCATTTATGCTGGTAATAAAAATGTTCTGCATCACCAAATTATACTGCAAGCATCAACAGAGGTATGTAGTAGTCAAAGATATGATAGGTGAGCTACAGCTGTATTATTACCACCAACAGTGGGACATACTATTATACTTACTAATAGATATAGATAAAATAAATTCTATGCTTCTGAACATTGATTAAAATGCAAGGGCTGGTCTGAAAGTAATGCCTCCTACTTTATTCTCTTGGCTCATGACATCAGAGGCAGATGTTGGTGGTAGGGCAGGAGAGGTTGAACCTTCACACCACTGTTCTGTTACATTTTGTTGCCATGTGACAGATGGCAGCAGAGGGGCAGTCTGATAGAATGGAGTCTGACATGGAAGTGTGTATGTAGAATTGGATTCCTCCGTGCAGAAAAAATTGCACCCCTTGACTTTTATCACTATTTGCTGAATGTTTCTGGAGACCAGTGAATGTGAGTACAGTGAGGTGGTGGGTGGTGAGTTTCAGCAGCAGTGACAGTGAGTCCCCTCTGCTGGTGCAGATTTTTATGAGTGCAGCATGCAACTCTAGTTCAATCTCTGGTGGAAATGCACAGGTAATAGCGATGATTATGTAGAAAAACACTGTTCTGTAGCTGAAAATTTGCTCTATCTAATGGAATTGTGCTCTTTGTATGTATTGTAGTTTCCATGAAAATTAATGGGAGGCATTACTTTCAAAGTGACCTTTGTACTTTGCTAACAAGATGTCCTTAGATTGTTGATCACAGTTGGTATCTTTGTTTTCTTTCAAAAGCATCGAATGAAGTTTTATAGTGCAAAAATATCTCAAGCAACAGAAAATACAAATCTAAGACATTATATCCAAATCATTTATGGTGGAGAAGGCAGATAAAAGATGTTGCAAACCTACACAGATAAATACCTTTACTTTTTGAATCAGCTTGTACTTTCTAATATAGCTGTAAGTACTCTCAGAAGTTTGCAGATGTAAACAGCCAGTGTTATTATTGTTTGCATGCAGGCAAGAATTGTACCCTTCAGCCCAAGAGCTACCATACCCCTGTTTAGCTGAAATTATAGAAATGAACAGCTAATCTTTTCTGTGGACCATTCTTTTGATTTGTGGAGGTTTTTTGTTGTTGTTTTCTTAGAAAGTAAAAAGAACAAAGTGACTTTATCTTCACGTTCCTCTGTTTCTGGCAGCATCCTTTATAAATTGATCATTGACCTTTCTTAATTAAAAAAAAAATCAACAAAAAAAGCTTTTTCCCATGATCTTATGTTACTTGCAAACTTCTGTTTCTGTTTTTTTCACCAAAAGATTCATGCTACTGGGGATGTTAATGTGTTAATGTGTTGATGGAGAAAAACTGGTGCATTTAAAATATGTGACTATCTTAAGTATCTTCCTTATGCAACTAAAAAAGTAAGATGCAAAATGCAAAAATAAACTTTTTGAAGATTTCTTTTCCTATTGGTTTTGTTTGTGTTTTGCATATCTATGGAAGATTCATACAGGTTTTCCACAGAGATACTAGTTTTCTGGCAAACTTTCACTTGTGATGCATTTTGTCTCATTAGTAATGTTCACATGCATTTCAGGCTGCTTAATTTCATTACACAAAGTATTATGCACTGTTCATCCAATAAGTGAGAGAGATTCATTCTGCTACCCAAGGGACTTGTAAAAAGAAGTTTGAAACCTCCAAGAAAACCTGAAAATTCTTGTTGAAACATGGATCATGTTTCACTGCTACCTTTATTAACATACTAAAACTTACTTTATTGATTAAGTTATCTGTGTTTTTCTGACTCCCAAATGCTAACTGCTGCCTCCTTAGAAATATTTACTTCTAGCTAGGATTTTTTAATGCAGTTAATATCTCTGCAAAGAACTAAGCATATTTGAAAATTGCCTTATATATGTGATTAGGTCTACTGCCTCATAGTTAGATTACTTGTTTTGATAGCATGTGGCTTTGAACATCAGCAAACATAAAAGCTTTTAAAAAGCATCAGGTTTCAAAGAAGCAGGAGGGATCTGTTAATACTGAAGATGTAAAGTCTCCATCCAGTATCAGTCACTGTTGGCTATGCTCAAGCATCTCTCAACTCCTTAGGCTGTGGCACACACTGCATCCCTGTGGAGTAACTGAGGACACTTGTATTGCAAGACTAAGAAGGTTGATAAAAGAATATCCTGTGATAGGAAAGAGCCAGCTCCAGCAGTGAGAGTTGGGCTTATGTGTACCTGATGGTACCCCACAGGGATCCCAGTTGATAGAAGAGCACTAGTAATGGAGAGAAACTATCAGTGTTGAGCTGAGATGATGGCCGAGGTTTAAGGAGCAAAGGCACTGGATTGGTAGTCAATCTAAAGAATTGGAAGGGACATACAAATTGGGCATGGGGTGGGAAACTGGGACTGATCAGGCAAAAAGAGGTTTGGCATGAAGCTCTAGAGGGAACAGATTGAATAAGGAATTGGACACTCAGGTAGCAGGCTTATTGCTGCCAACATATGTCCATTAGCATCTGACAGTAATTCTAGCTGGAGAGAACTGGGACAGGTTGAGAAATGAGCCAGGAAGGCAATCGAATAGACTTCAGTGAGAACTGTGCTCTAGTATATAGGAACATGCAGTGTAGACTCTGTGTGTTTCAAGAAATAAAACTCAGAGAATAAAAAATAGGTGCCTATTATTAGGTGTTAAACATCACTGTTTTCAGTCCATTCCGTGATAGAAACCAAAACATAAGGATGTATTCTGGTATACAAATTACAAAGTGCTCAACCAGCCGGAAGGAGGGACCCTTTAAATTCCCTGAACAAACAAGATAGGTGCTAGATAAGCTTAACTCCACTCTGAAATATCTGGCTTATTATTAGAGACTATGAGAAAGAGGTTGAATTGAACTTTGAGTGTTGCAAGAGTGTTGTTGCAGTTTGGCTCTGGTAAGTTAAATTTCACTTTGTTGTTTAGTTAAATAAATATATTCTATCCAGACAGCCACAAGGTACAAAATAATAGTCCACTGTGTTTTTAAACTATCTATTCCTGATCTTTATTTCTTAAGCCCTTGCTCCTGGAGTTATATGGAGAATATTGCCTTCCTCTTCCTTCTTCATTTCCTTCTACATTGCATGGCAGTGTAAATCCTTTTTGCCCCATAACTTTTGTGACAGTAAATTCAGTGCGATATTCTTTGTTAATGTAAGCCGGACTCCCTAAAAAATTTAGAAAGCTAATTATGTATTTATAGAAAATACCATTGCTTTTACTGCTTTAGTTAATAACATTGATTTCTTAAAGCGCAACTAGTCAAAAATAAGTTTCAAAACATTAAAAATGCTTTCAATAAACTTCTGAATTATTCAATGAAGTATTTGCATTAAAGATCACAGTATGCAATAAAACTTGGAGTATGCATAAAATATTCCTATTTCTAGGCATTGTTACTGTTTTAACTGTTGCCAAGACCTGCAAAATGAAATAATGTTCATATCTCATACTAAGAAAAATAATAGTATCATCATGTGCAAGATATGAGCCCTGATGATAGCTTTTTGTGGTGTATGGTGAAGGCCAATTGTGGTGAACAATTCAAGATAGTTAAGACTGAGAAGATTCCTTAAGCTAGATTTCTTCTGTGACATTCAGCATATTAATTAATTCTGTGTGACTCAGCTTCCTTTTATATCACAAACATGTTGCTATCACTTCTTCCTATCTTCTGCCCATCTCAGGGATTTGGTTTATTAAGATCTGAAAGATCTCCAACAGTCTTATTCAAACGATGTCCAGCACAGTATGCATTCAGTCTTTGCTGGAGCTTCTAGACTGAGCTGAGGGGAAAAAACTAGGTGAATTCTCTTCATTTATCGGAATCTGAGACTCTGTAGAAGAAAAATAATGTATAGTATAAGCTGAGTAGTTCCAGAAATTATTCAAATCTGAAGATTGAATTTTCTTTGATCACTTTTGCCCTTGAAAGCCAACTGTTTTGAACTGTTTGTGTATAGAAAAAGGGGAAAAACAAAACAGCAACAACAACAAAACACTACATAGAAAACATACAATTCCAGATCTTTTTGGTATCATTTGAAATCAGAGAGCATGCTAATTTAAGGAACCCTGTGGGGACACAGCAGCAGGAAAATATGCTGCAGGTGACATCACTGATACTGACCACGCTTGGCTCACGGAGTAAATCCACAGATATATACAATATTGGAGCATGTTAGGGGAAAACAAACAAACAAACAAACAAAAAACAAAACAAAAAAAAGCACACACAGATGAAATGAGTCGGCAATGAAGAAAACTTGTTCATGTCTTTTTTTTCTGTGTATTTTAACAAGCTGGTTAACTTCCGTGATAATCAACTTCTGACAATCAGAAGCTGAAAGGCACTGAACAAACCAAGTATAATTAAAATACTTGTTAAGCAGCAATTGCTTGTGAGCAAAGATGGAAAATACAGCTGTGTAGGTACAGGAGGTGTTTACATGGAATGTCTTAATGTTCTTTTAAAGGGAGAAAAGAAAAAGGACATTTTCTGAGCTGTGAAGAAACTACAAACTGACTGACAGAGCCTTTCAAGATTTCCCTGTGAAAAGAAAACTGCGTTGATGCCAGTCATATAAGGTATTTTAGACTAGCATGGATTCTTTTACCTTCAGTACTCTGTTAATGCTTTAATGAATGGTGCTTTCCTAGAAATAAAATGGAGGTAGTAAATGATTTAAAGTCATAGCTTTTTCAGATGTAGAGTATATTAGGTTGGTGAGCATATAATTTGTAGGAAGACGTAATTATTTCAAAATGACACAAAAGACAAAAAAGCAGTTTGTGTGCATTTGTTGGCTGTTCATAAAATAATTGTATTTTTTGCCTGTTCTCGCCATCAACTTGCATTTTGTGAAATCCCAAGCTGTCATGGTTCATTATCCATAGATAATCTTGAGCAGCCTTGCATCATAAAAAAATATGCTGTGGCATCTGCCATTGTGCACCAGTGTACAGATCATTTCTTACTAAGATTTGTCTGATTTATCCATTCAGTAGTCTGTGCTCATATATTTTTGTGTGTGAATATCTTCAGCAATGGGAGCTGCATATACTACATTACTGAGATCGTTCAGCTTGTAGATATAATGTCTCCCATGCATTTTTAGCTAATGAGTTCCATTTCAGCTAATGTTTGTACAACTCCATCTCCACCAGTCACTCATATCACTGCTGTAGTCATTTCATAAGCTCCTGTACCAGTGATGTAGACAGCACATTGAAATCAGCAGTTGTGATAGCTGTGATTATAACATCAGTCTTGCATTCTAGACCCTATATTTTGACTTTTCAGATTTTAGGAGAATAAAATTAAATTTACATCATGATTATGTTCATAGTGAGCAGTAGTGTCCAGACATAAATATATTTACTAATGAAGTCTTTATTTCCTGTAAGGTAATCATGTTGGTAAGAGACTATTACTCGTTCTTGAAAGACAATTAGTAAAAATGCACAGTACTCATAGGTATCAGTAAATAAAAGTCCTCTTCATCCCACTAATTTAAATCTGTTTAACTGTGGTAGTGATGGAAAATTGAATGTATTTTGTTTTAGAGATGTTCCAAGGTCACTTAACTCTTATTCTTGTTTAATGATACAACATTTGGAAATTAATTTGTTATTGCAGCTGTTTCATGGAAAAATGCTTCAACAATCAACAGTGAAAATACATTACTACCCTTTTTAGCTTTGTTTCAGATCTGCTTCGCTTGGTGACTATTTAAAATTAATCCAAAAGCTGTTTTTAAGAAACTGTGGGAATACTTTTCTGAGTATGTGAAATCAAAGTAGAGTTGCTTGCTGTAGCCTCGATAGCCTGTCTTCAGCCAGTTGCTTTGATGTTTCCTCCAGGGAGCAGGAGAGTAAGAGAAACAATCTTGTTCTATTAAGATTCCTTATAATTGCCAGGCTTGATGCAATTTCAGTGAAACATTGCACAGAAATCACCCTTTTAATGGATGAAAACACTGTCTGAAGATACTTACAGGGCTTCTGTTTGCATGTCACAGTTCCCATACCAGTTAATTGTTTGTACTTACAAGGGCTTTAAGGCTTCATTTGGGTTACAGCTTTTTATACTTTCTCTGTTTGTTTGTGCAGAGAGCTTGTGGAAGTGCAGATCATTCACAGGTCAAATGGAAAGCAACAACACGTAGAGACAATGAAATGTCAGGGCACTTTTCAGCGAAAGTTCACAAAACAAAGGAAAGGCCACAAGAAAATGCAAAGCAATATGTCCTCAAAGTAAATTGTCCCCAAGGAAAATAACTCACTTGGAGAGAATACTATTCTTTCGAACTGTAGAGCAGATTGTTGTGAGACTAAGTCTTGATGTGTGACTTTTGCAGTGGCTGTCATTTTGCCCAAAGCCTACCTTTTATTTTCAGTAATAAAACAAAGTACAGCTCTGTGCTGAATTCTCGGTGGAAAAAGAGGGGAGAGAGTGAGAGAGATATTGAAAAAATATTTTATTTTATAATTCCCCAGCATCTGTTCATGTTCCACCAAACCTTGCAAATGGATTTTGATTGAAGTAGTAGTGTATTCATCACAGTGATAAAATTAATTTCCATCTCTGTTTACCATCTTGTGTCTCTCAGGCACTTTGTGTGTTACAGGCACTTTCTTCTGAGAATACGAAATACTGACTATGAATGTGTCTAGGAGTAAAGTCACCAATGTTTAAATCTGTTATCATAGATAACTCAGACTAATCTAAATGAAGGCAAATGTTTTGAGACCTGAATTTCTATCTGAACAATAGCTTCAAAGATTCGTGCGCACATTTGACTGTCTTACACACTGAGGTGGATTGCTACTAAGGAGATTATACACATATGCCCATGACCTACAGTGAGGTTCTTAGGAATGTGAAATAGAATAATGTCTATAAGGTAAATATGAAGAGGAAAAGCAATTCCAAACAAAAAATGAATATGAATGACCCCAAGAATATTTAAAAAAAAATCCACAACAAACACTTAAAGATGCAACAAATCCTGAGGATCTTCTGCACAGATCTCAACTGGAAATGCTTTTTAATCTGTCAACTAATTCACAAAATTTCTTTGGAAGTTCTTTAAGTATTTTTGGTGTCTATGTACTACGTTACAGATTGGGTTAAATGGGATACATTCATAAGCAGAGTCATTAGGAAGAACCTTCTAAGACTTCTTCAACATTAGAAAGTTTTTACTGAGACACAAAATAATTGCAGATGGTTAAGCATTACAAGGAATCTTCCTATTTAAAAAAACCATTAAAATATTAAAAATGATCATTTGAATGTTTTTGATACATTGTCTCTTTAATACTGCTTTCCATTTGGAAATATGTTTAGTGTTTCAATTTTTGTGTTACTTTTTGCTTTTACGTGATGATAGGAATGAGGATAATAGCATTTGTCCTGTTATAGGAGTTGTTAGTTCTAATGTAGTTGGTTCAGGCATTCAGGAAATGCAGAGTGGTGCTCCTCACAGAGCACAGAGGAATGCCTGTAAAGGCTAGAGCAAGGAGGCCCCAGACCAACTACATTCAGTGCTCTGACCCCATTTATACAAAAAAAAGCATTCTAGTTTATAGCAACACTCTCATAAGTTCTTTTCAGGAAACCAAGAACTAGTCCTGGAATTCCTGTTTCATTCTCATGCAGATTATACTCCGCTAACCATGGTGAAGCAAGTAGGACTCCATATGAAATTCCATGTCAGTCTGTGAATTTGACTGGAGGAGAATATCTTAGGACTTACACACAATATATCTCACTAAAAAAAGAGCATTACAAACTAATGTAAAACTCATCACAAACTGGAGATTGTTCTTTAACTTGTTAGAGAAAAATGATGCTTCCCCAACTTAACCCCTTTTTTTTGTTTGTTTTGTTTTTAAATGACTGTATTATGTTTCTGGATTTTCTGGGTGACAAAGTCCTGTGTACTGGAAAGACGCTCACATACTTTTGTGGTACTGTTCAAGAATCAAGAACTGAGGCATTGTTGCAAAGAATGCCAACGTTACAGGTCAACACTGTTGCTGCTGTTTGTAGACCTGTCTGATAAGAAAGGCTTTCAGTAGGTATTAAGTATTAACATTTCTTTTTGGTGGTTTGTATTACAGTTTTTTATATTTTTAACTCTTTTTTTTTTTTTTTTTTTCCCCTGAACTAATACTTTGCTTAATTTCTCTTCTGGGATCCAACTTTCCACTGATAAATGAAAATCCTTAGTTTGTAGATGGATGCATCTTGCCTTCTGTAATCATTTCCATCCTAAAGGTAAACCTTTAAGCAACAATGAAAATTGATTTTTGCGTAGGTCTGTGATTCATTAATCTATTAGAAATAGCACCGTAATGCAAAATTTACTTCATTTAATCTCTTGAAACATGAAATTTCATAACGTGCTTGGTGGAAAGTAACCTACCATCTTATAGTGGCAACACAGGTTGCAATGAGATTTCTGGTTTTTGGCCATGGAGAATGAATCAGACATACCAAGGGGTTTTTTGTGCAAAAATAAAACTTTCATAAAGCCGTGTAGTTAAGTGTCGGTCTTACTCTCCATTTTAAGGAGAATGAAATTGCTGGTGCAAAAAAAGGTTTCTTTCTTCCCACAGTGCTGCATATATTGTGCTACAATCTAAAACTGCAGCAATTATACATAGCAGTTAAATAAAATGAGAACAATCAAACAGTCAGCTCACTGAGCCAGAGGTGGTACTTGGAGTCCCTGCTGTTTTTCCCAGTCAATCTCAGCATCAGTGATGGTCAGGAAATAGACTTCATTTTCCTGCATATGTTTATGTGGTGGGGGGGGTGGGGGACATGACTTTACTTTTTGTCAGGCAAAAAAAAATCCCAAAAACTAAAAGAACTTAAAAAAACAAAACAAAACAAAAAAAAAAAACAGGAAAAGGAAAGAAGAGAGAAGAGAAAAACCTTGGATTTGTGGAGAAAGCGAGTATTTACAAATGCATATTATACCTAGGTAGAATATTATGTTTTTAACTCCTTGGGTAGAAGGTCCACCTTATCACTACAGGAAGAAGCCAAGAGGTCTACAGAAATCAAAACTACTGGGAATTTGTATTGTAATAAGAATTGTAACAGTAAGTTCTTGCAAGATTCTAACGGGAGGAAAAAACGCACGTAGGGTGTAATAAATAAATAAGTGGATAACAATTCTCTTCATAGACCCAGTTGTGTTCCACATAACTACTGCAGGAGGTTACACCAATTTTTGAAGTAATTGTTGCTGTCAGAGGTCAAAAAGAGGTTGCAAAGATGAGGCAGATAAGTTTAATGTGGTTTGAAATGTCCTCTGCTCCCAACATAGGGTTGGTCAAGTCATACACATAAAATTTTGTGATAAGTTGCCTCAAAAAAGAAAAAAAATCCTTGTATTTGGTATACATAGGGCATTTTAAATATCTCTGGTATAGAGGTAGGGGAACAGCTGTGGATCAAACCTATCTAGTTATTTTGTAAGGTAGATTGGAAATCAAGACTCTGAAGAAGTCTCAGGCTGTAGTTTTATGATAGCCTAAAATTACGCTTTTGCTGGCAAATTGTAATCTTG